CAGTACATGGGATTCTTCAGTCCTAAGTGCAGGACTCTGCACTAGTCCTTGCTGAACTTCATGAGATTGCTTTTGACCCAATCCTCCAATTTGTCTAGGTCACTCTGAATCCTAGCCCTACCCACCAGTATGTCTACTACACCCCCCAGCTTGGTGTCATCCACAAACTTCCTGAGGGTACACTCCATTCCATCTTCCAGATTGTTAATGAGCATATTGAACAACACCAGCACCCAGCTCAATACCAGCTGCTCACTAGACATTGAGCCATTGATCACTAACTGTTGAGCCCGACAATCCTGCCAGCTTTCTATCACCTTATAGTCCATTCATCCAAGCCATACTTCCTTAACTTGCTGTGATATTATGTAAGGATGATAATAGTTTATGGATTTTTTTTTAATTACTGAATTATATTTGGGGGAAAAAATGCTTTTCCTAAAATTTACAATGAAAATACTGGGCAGGCTTACATGTAGACTTGACTTACCTGAACAAGATAGTACACATTCTAGGTTCCAACCATTTTTGAATCCTTACAAAAAATGATGAGATAAGTACCACTATGACAGCTCTGACAGGTTCTTCTATCTCAGGCCCCCTGTGTTCCACTAACAGTGCTACTCTTCCTTCATCACCTGCTCTTCCCAAACAGAAAACAACTTCTTTTATCATTCTAATGTATAAGTTAAAATAGATATTAAGTGCAATTATATAAACATTTTTCTTGACATCTGTTCTTTATTAAACTCACAGTAAGCACATCCCTAATTTGCTTATTATCATTAAGGTTGCAAATCTATAACATCTAAGAATACTGCTGGTTTAAAGTATTTTTCATACATATGTTATTTAAGGCTGAAAAAATTATTCTCTATGGGGCTCATCCAAAGTCCTCTGGAGCCAATAGAAAACTTGGGAATTCAAGGAAATGTCTTGAACCAAGGCTTAAATGACCTGTGCTTATAAGACCAGCAGAATTGCTTATACTTTAGATGTTTTTAAAATGGTACATTTTGGGGTGTGTAGGAAAAACTGGGTGAGGGGGAGATCTGATTTGAAGTTGGTTATAATCATGGGTGGATCCAGAATTTTGAGCAGGTGAATGTGACTGGTGCTGCAGGAGTGTCTGTACTCCCCATCCTTCCCTCTTCCCCCGCATGGGCATACCACAATGCAGCAATAGCTGCTAGAGATTTTTTGTGAGCCCTCAAAGCAGGTACAATTCCCCTGCCCCCAACTCTGCTTTGGGCACCACCTCCATTCTCAATCCCCACCCCCTCTCTCCTGCAGGAGTTTCCCATGGGTGTAGGAAGGGAGGGTCCTGCCCACTGGTGCTACTGCTGTGGGTTGACCCAGGGACAAGGAAGCCCCAGGGCCGCTCCTGCCCAACACCAAATGGGGCCTGAAGTGAGCCGCTACACAAGGTGCCAGGCTCACCCACGAACAGCAATGGTAGCAGACAGGTTTCTCCTTCTAGCTCCTGGCCTTGCTCCCAGACCCCCATTGGCCAAGAACAGGCAACTGAAGGGTGGACCATTTTCTGTCACTGTCATCTCCACCCTAGACTGGCATCCTGCATAGTCATTTTCCATAGCTGGAGCCCCCTGGCTGGTGGCAGAAACCTGAGAGAGGGGACTAGAAGCAGGGACCCACCCACTGCCAACAAGCCCAGGACCCCATGCAGCTGCTCCTAACAGTCTTCAGCTGTATTGGGGTGGGAGCAGTCCTGGGGCATTCCCCACCCATGGTCTGCTAGGGACAGCAGCAGTGGTAGACAGTTCTCTACTTTCTCACCTTCTCTCTATTTGGCCTCCCAGATATCCCTAGCCAGCCTGGGGCACCAGCCACACCTTGGACTCTGCAGGGGATCCAGGTGTCTATGGCTGTCAGAAACTAGATCCATTGACAGGTGATCCATAGTGTTAATGTAAGGGTGATGGATAACTGCACCACTGAATCCCCTGTGTACCCACCCCTGCTTATAATTCAATAGTTCAATCATATGTTGATACATTAAACATAGTTTTTTTAAAAACTGGCATTTTTGTGTACATGGAGCCAGTTCCACAGACAGAAACTCACTTTCGTTTTACCACAATGAATATTTAAATCCCAGATATGCAACTGATGAAAAGTGTATAAAAGATTTCAGGTGATCTACATATTTGTTTAAAATAAAGAAAGGGAAGAATGGTGAAAAATCAGTGAGTCAACTAATCTATTTATCATCTATCTTGGATCTTGCCCTCACCAACAGGGAAGAACTGGTTGAGAATGTGGGTAACTTGGGAGGAAATGATCATGATACGTGAGAATTCCAGATCCTGAGACAGGGAAAGCATGAGGTCAGCAAAATTAAGATGCTAGATTTCAAAAAGGTGGATTTCATTTGACTCAAGGAGCTAATAGGCATGATGTCATTGGAGGACAGAAAATAAAGATGTCCAGGAAATAAAGATGTCCAGGAAGGCTGGAAGCTTCTAAGGGGCACAGTATTGGAAGCCCAACAACAAATTGTCCTGACACAACAAAAGCACAAGAAGAATGGCAAGAGACCAATGTAGCTGCACAAGGAGTTTCTAAAATGCTTCAAATGCAAAATGCCTCAAAAAAATTAATCTGTAGTCAGATGCCTAATAAAGATTCAGCAAGGCTTTAGACAAGGTCCCACATGACTTTCTTATAAACAAATTGGAGAAATGTGAGTTAAATAAAACTGCTAGAAGCTGGATAGATATCTGGCTCAATAGCTATGAACAAAGGGTAATTATTAACAGGTCCACATCAGGATGGATGGAAGTTTTGAGTAGAGTGCCACAGGGTTCTGTCCTGGGCCCAATGCTTAACAGGTTTGTTAATGATTTGGATGCTGGTATAGAAAGCTTCTTGAGCAAGTTTGCAGATGACACAAAACTGGAAAGGAATGTGAACATTTTCGAGAATGCAGAGTGATTTAGAAGGAGCTCAACAGATAGAAAAGTTGGACTAGAGCTAACAGGATGAAGTTCAATGTAGACAAATGCAAAGTGCTAAACTTCAGGAGGATAATGAAAAACCCAAATAAAGAACAGGTGACACCTGTCTGGATGTGGAGAAGTTAGAGAGGGTCTAGAGGTGGGAATCAAAGATGATCAAGGGCGTAGAAGGCAAATTAGATGAGGAGAGGCTGAAGGAGCTAGGCATGTTCAGCTTGTGGAAAACTCACGTAAGAGGGGACATGATAACAGTCTTCAAATACTTGAAGGGCTGCCAAGAGAAGAGGGAAAGCACTGTTCTTCTCTTACTATAGAGTGGAGGATGCAGACCAATGGCTGGAAGTTGTAGCAAAGTACATTTAGATTGGATATCCAGAAAAACTTCTACGCTGATAGAACAGTGAAGCAGTGGAATAGACTGCCTAGGGAAGTTGTGGACTTTCCATCACTGGGGGTGTTCGAGAAGAGTTTGGATAGGTTGGGGATGATCTAGGCATAGCTATGCTTATTTTCTGCCATGAGTATTTCCCATACTTCTGGGCTTTGCTGGTTGCTCCTGCCCACCCCCTGCACCTCTCTTTTTCTGCTATGTGTTTCAGGGTGTTTGTAAGCCTCCTCAGAAGCATTGGGTACTGGCTATAGCTAAGACTGGGGACTTCAACTGGGGTGTGCCCGTTCTCTGCTACGAGCAAAGTATGGGTCCTGGCTAGAGGGTCTTGTCTCTCCACATCACCATATTTGGAGTGCTGAAGTAGTTTTACCCCATGGTCAGATTGGTATGGACTGTGGGGGTCTTTGCTTTCCTATGTAGTGGGGGGCATGACCTGCTACCAAGACCTTTGGAGCATGTATTGACAACCTTTTATAGAAGCAGGACATTGGCTGCTGTGGTTCCACTGCCTTACCTGTGGCAAGTTAGGGTGTTATGTCTATGCTGTGTCAATACTGAAGGTAGTCTTATGCAGAGTTTAGATTATGGGTTTACGGGATGATTTGGATAGGGATGAACCTGCCTCAGGCAGGAGGTTGCACTAGATGACCTCTGGAGGTCCCTTCCAGCCCTACTTTACTATGACTCTATAACTCAAGTTCAGTCTGAAATTTACAAACATGTTTATCTTCATGTTGACCTCTCAACCACAACTGTGTAGATACCAAATCTCATCAACAGATATATTCAAGATTTAGAAGGAAATAATATAAACAGATGAAGAAGCTCTAAAGACTGCCATATGCATTCTGGAAGCATAGCATTCAATCTGTTTTAGACCTAGTAAATGAATTCTAAAACATTCTAGTGTGGCCATCCTAGCAACCTCAAAAAGATGGCACAAATTTCAAATGAAAATGTTATCCTTTTACAAGTTTATTCTTTAAATATCGTATATTTGATTGTTATATTTAAGAATTTTATTATTATACTGTAAGTCCTACATTTCTGTGGGCACATATACACATGCAGTTAATGCACAGCAATAAATTGTGCATATAATGCCACAGTTTATTGCTCCTGGACAGCATGTTTGAAAGTGCACCTGGGGCTGCAGCGTGTTGATCCAGGTTGGAACATTCCTGGCTGGCATGGGTTCTAGAGGGGTCAGCCTGCCAGCCCGGGGCTGCTCCAACCCAGCTAAGTGTGGTGCAAATGGGCTGGCTGGAGCACAAAGGTGTTCATAAAGCTAGCCAGCAGGCAGCCCCAACACTGCAGCACCCTCATGCCCCAGCCAGCCCCATCAGCGTCTACACATACGTTGCTGTGAAGTAAAAATCTCCACCACAGGATAGTGCTTGTGTTTACAAGTACTAACCTATGGCAGAGTTAGTTAGTTACTCAATCCTAACAGTGCTTCACATGTAGACACTGAGGTGTTTACTGCAGAGCTAATTAGGTAACTGCAGTAAACGTCTTATGTAGATGTGCCCAGTCTTATTTTAGTCCACAGACAATTTTTTTTTGACAATTAGCCTATAATATATATTTGTTTCCCTAAGATTCAAAGTATATATAAAATATATTGTTACCTGGTAGAGATTTAGACCACTTGACTACAGAAAGGAGTTGCCTCTCACATAGCTGATTTAGACTGGTCAGTAAAGAACTTGGTGTTTCAGGTTTCGTGTTGTCATAACCTGCATAGACAACTTCCGGCTCAATGCCCTGTAGGACACTTATCAATGGGGGAACAAACTGTATATCATGATTGGGAGAAAAGGATAGCCTCTGGGCTAGAGCTTGGCTTTCTTCTGGAAGGCCTGAAGACTGCTGTAGTGCAACATCTAGTGTCCTCACAACTTTGACTTTGTTAAACTTTTTAAACTTTCGACCTGAAAAAAAAAAGAATAGAATATTTAAAAACCTAGCACAAAGCACATACACCTTCTAGTAGTGCTAGATTACACTTTTAATCTCTATGTGGAAATTGCAGCCCTGTCTCTTGGATTTTTCTTCTATTTTGTTTTCTTTTAAAACTAAGTTATGTAATTTAAAAGATTTGTAGTAACTTCTTCAAGTTATTTTTTCCTTTGAGGGAGAAACAGAAAGAAACAAAATAGAATACATTAGGACATTTTATGGCACCCTTCCATTATGCCTGTCATCATAGCCAAGGTTACTGCAACCTGCTAAAGTATTTCTGGTTCAGTTCCCACTATCCTATGTTTACTGCCAAGTCAACTGGCTCTGCAATTCAATTTCTGCTGAATGTAAGTTAATGATACTGCTCCATTGCTTTCTTCTGCCCTCAGAAAACTTATTTCTTGATATAGATAGAAGCTACTTGCTCCCCACTTCCACACACAGAGATAGCAATTCTCTCTCTTGGCTAAATTCCATTATGGCCTAAATTGCCAGAATTCCCCCTGGGAAATCCAGAAACAGAATGAAAATGAAAAACTGTGGGTTAGGGGGAAATGTACAAGTGTTGAGGATACCAGAAGCAATATCCGCAAAAAACTTATTAGTTAATGACCTTTCCTCAAAAACTGCCTCTTTGCCTATCTGGTGGTATACAACTCCAAGTAATGTAAACTGAGGAACATTAACTAAAGAAACATTGTAGAACTGCCCTTAAAAAGTAAGTAAAAGTATTACATCTAGATGTCAAGCCAGGACAAATGTTAGAGTAAACATATGTACAGTACTTCAGATAGTAGCTCTTTAGATTTCTACTATGCAAACATTCTGGAGGCATACTGTATAGTTCACTTTAAGTAGAGCCAACCTAAATAACATATAGGCTAGGGACAGAAATTACGCATAAACCTGTATACATGATCAAAAACCAGTTTAAATATGTAACACAACAGAAGTTCAGTGCTGCTTTCAAAGTGGCTGAAACCTGGATGGACATCATATCAGACTTAACTGAGTTATGTTAAATTGGTTTATTGAACTTCTGTCCCAGATCCCCTCCAGATTCAAGTTAATTCACAGCATCCTGGAATGCTTTGCACCCCCTCTGCAAACTCTCCCCCGCAGGCTAGGGGACTAGCCCTGCCCCACACTGTCTGCTACAGCTAAGCAGGGAGGCATGCTCTAGCACCTCCTGACTTCAGACCTGGGGCACTGCAAATATGGAACTGCATTTCCAGAATCAAAAGTAAATGTCTGTTATTTGCTTACCAATTTAATCCATGCAGTTTAGAGTAACCTGTGAAGATTGAATCAATCCAGCCCTGGCATTTTTGACTGTCTGTACTTAGTCATAAATACAACATATACACACTAATTCAGGTATAAGAATGCTGCATGGAAATGCATATACCATGTGCTGGTCACTATTTTTGAACATATCACTGTTCTTACAATATCCAAACCTTTTGCCAATGAATGCATGCATGCATAAAACGCATCTTCCAATTTCTAATTTAAAAAAAATAACAAGGTGATATTTGGGGCTGTAAGACCCCAGATACCACTTCAGGCATGGGGAAGGTTTTGCAAGTTCAACAAGCTGGGGGGAATAGTGAAACTAATGAGGTTGGGAATGCATGCCCCTTTCATAGCTTTGATTTCAATTCTGGTGGTGAACTTTCATTTGGTACCACCAGGATCCAGGAGCTTCAGGAAACCAGCTCTAAACCAGCAAAACACCTGTAGGCTAGGGAACACCACTCTTGTCAACACAGTGGCAGAAAAGGATCTTGGAGTCAACAATGACTCCAGGATGAACATGAGACGCCAATGCGAGAAAGCGGTCAGTAAGGCTAACCACACCTTGTCATGCATCAACAGATGCATCATAAGCAGGTCGAGGGAGGTGATCCTTCCCCTCTATGTGGCGTTGGTCAGGCTGCACTTGGAGTACTGTGTCCAGTTCTGAGCACCTCACTTCAAGAGGGATGTAGCTAGCATTGAGAGGGTCCAGAGAAGGGCCACTCCCATGGTCAAGGGGCAGCGGGTCAGGCCCTATGAAGAGAGGCTAAAAGGCCTGAATCTATTCAGCCTCCACAAGAGAAGGATAAGAGGGGATCTGGTGGCCATTTACAAACTCATGAGGGGGGACCAGTGGAAATTGGATGATGTGGACATTGGAGTCAGAAGCGGACTCGCCAAGTTTGCCGATGACACCAAACTTTGGGGCAAAGCATCCACACCAAAAGACAGGCAGGTGATCCAGGCTGACCTGGACAGGCTCAGCAAATGGGTGGACGAGAACCTGATGGTGTTTAACACTGAAAAATGCAAGGTTCTCCACCTTCGGAAGAAAAACCTGCAGCATCCTTATAGGCTCGGCAGTGCTACGCTGGCTAGCACTACGGAAGAAAGAGACTAGGGGGTCATCACTGACCACAAGATGAACATGAACATGCAATGCAATGCTGTGGCTACTAAAACGCTGGCTTGCATCCATAGATGCTTCTCAAGCAAATCCCAGGATGACATTCTCCTGTTGTACTCGGCCTTCGTGAGGCCGCAGCT